ACAAATTAACTTTTTTTGATTCAGAGCTGGACAATAGAATCTTATGGCCATTCGAGGGCGGCATGCGAATGGTTATCACTGCCAAACCATTCACAACCATTCACAGTCATTGTGGATACGATTAGAGGAAATAAGGTAAGTTCAAGTGCTGAGAAGGAGGTTATTTCGGGCGAAAGCCCTTAGAAATAAATTCGGAAAAATTAATTTCCGACCTCGCTGGGATTCGAACCGACGACCTTCATTGTGGATACGATGTCGAACAGTGATGACGGTTTGTTTATCACTCAGAATACTTTTTAGAATCATTTCTTTGCCGAGCTTTGTTATTGAAGTTTTTTTTCGGATTTTCTAGAGAAGTGATACATTATATAGTTGCTTTTGATGCCGAACCTGCTCAAAGAAACGAAAGAAGGATTAGATAGAAACAAAACGGAGAAAAAAATGGAGAATAACTAGTGTGTCTGTGCTTCTATTGAACATTGGCCGAGGGCCGATAAAAYGACATCAAAAGGCTCCAACTCGATAGGAAATCTACATCAACAACAACTCCGGTTAGTAAATACAATATTTTTTAAATTCTATACAACTTTCCATACAAATGTATGTGACAGCTTTGCTGATACTATTGGAATTAGTTACAATGCAAAGTCCATGCAAACCCGAGTCAATTTGGTTAAGGCAATTTGGGATTGTAATTTGCGAGTATAAAATTTCAGACTTTGATATACGTAGATGGGTGGATGTATAAGTGAAGGGTGAGATTAAAAACATGAAGTAGATCGTAAAAGGCTACTCTCCCTCGCATCCGTTTTTTTTGTGTCGGGCTTCCTGTCTCCCTCCCCACATCTGCAATTGGGGATTATCTCAGGCTCCTTTTTGTAACGGACCACAATCATGTTCACTTTCCAGCAAGGAAGACTATCTCAGGCTCCTTTTTGTAACGGATCACATTCATGTTCACTTTCCAGCAAGGGGGACTATCTCAGGCTCCTTTTTGTAACGGATCACATTCATGTTCACTTTCCAGCAAGGGGGACTATCTCAGGCTCCTTTTTGTAACGGATCACATTCATGTTCACTTTCCAGCAAGGGGGACTATCTCAGGCTCCTTTTTGTAACGGATCACATTCATGTTCACTTTCCAGCAAGGGGGACTATCTCAGGCTCCTTTTTGTAACGGATCACATTCATGTTCACTTTCCAGCAAGGAAGACTATCTCAGGCTCCTCTTCAAACGGACCACATTCATGTTCACTTTCCCGCCATGGGGAACTATCTCAGGCTCTTTTTCTAACGGACCCAAACATAAACATAACAAATAAGAATTATTTTTTTCCTTCCTCACCAAAGGCCGAGGAGAAGAAATGGCTCTATATCGATAGAAAATGACAACAACAGCTCCGGTTAGTAATATGTACATGAGTAAACATATATATGAGAAGTGGCAGCACAAAAGGGCTCTTCAAAAGTAAACCCCATTTTTTTCAACTTCTGGAAGAACGACCCTCTGGACTTTGTACGCATCACCGCTTAAGTTAATACCCCAAATTGTCAATTCTTGTCCTTCGCTTTCGCGTCGTCACTGGCGTCAC